TGTGTCTCTACATCAGTCCTTTGTTGCTGAGGGCAATTCGGAGTACGTGCAACTGAACCAACGAAGCGGTTCAGCTAAACGCTGGAAATTTCAAACTGGAGAATTTTCAGATAAAAGGTACACTGTCTTAATGTCTTGCTTCTATTTTATTTAATAATAGCTGACCATGAATGAAAGAGCACGTTGGATGTGGTGTCAGGCGCTCTGTTTCTCAGAGAGAAACTGAGACGTGGAGCTGAAGTGACCCATGCAATGTCACCCACCCCAGCCAGGAGCAGAGCGAAATGCTCTGCTGGGAGGTGATACCATCTGTAGAAAAGAGAGAAGGAAGCAACATTAAAGTGAATATTGAAAAGCATTTAATGCAAAGATGAAGCAATTTTATTATGTATTTGAAACAGTCTGTCTACAGAAATATTTGGAGTTTTTACAGAGCTATGCTGATAACAGTAAAAACAAAACTGAAAACTAGCTATATGCTTTTGAATGAACCAGCTTCTTGTGTCACTGGTGTGTTCTCGATTTATTAATTAGTGTGTTGCTTATGCATATGGCTATACAGACCCTTGTAAATGTGTGAAAATATATCTGTGACTCACGGGGTTTCTTGGTTGGGGGTGCGTTTTTGAGAAAAGTAAGAGTAGATTATTCTTCCTGCAACTTTTTTAGTACTGGAGATGCCTTGTAATTAGATACAAGTGTAAGACGTCAGAATTGCCAAGACAGTTCACCCTTCTGCCACTTAGGTATTTCCCTTAGACCTTTAGTTTCTCATAGAACAGAGCAAAAGGATGTAAAATTAGTTGGCGCCATATGTATTGCTCTCAGGGTTTACAGCTATACTGTGTAAAATATTAAAGAGTAAAAAAAGTAAATGCATTGATATTGAGCCAGATTTTTTCTGAGCTGTGCAAGCAGCCTTAAGCTGTCTCCAAACACAGAGCAGCTTTGATTTAAAAAGAAAAAAAAAAAAGCTCACAACAACAACCAACCAAACAAAACATAAATTCCCTGTCTCTCCTGCTCCTTTCCCTTTGCCAGGGTAGGGATGATGTGGGGTCCCCCATACATGTGGGGGCCAGCAAAATGAGGACACTGTGCTTATTCTTGTGGGAGTTAACAGAAACAGAGCCCAGCTTGAGGGGAGTTTAAAAGGTGTCTTTAAACTGCTAGTTTACTGCACTGCTTTGAACTTGAGGACAGGGGTTTAAGAAGCTGCTTGAGCCCAGGCTGACAGACGTCCACAGAGGTGCTCATGTTGTCACTTGACCGTTCTTGGTCCCTAGGCAAGTGTTCTCATGTAATTCCTTGGTTGCACCCTTATCTGGAGTAAATCTGAGTTTCTTCATCACACAATTGTTGGATCAACTACATGAAATACAAAGCATTTACTAGCGTGTAGTTTACAAACACAGAGTAAACCTGTAGAGCTGTAGAGAAGCATGCCATTATAGTTCAGAGACAGCAGTATTGGGATCCGAGCACATCCACGTGTGTTGGTGCTTGTAGTGAAAAACGTGAGAGGCACCAAAACTTTATCAACGGGATGCTGGAAGTTCAATTTTGGGCTTCTAAAACCCTCTGCTGAAGTGTTTTAACAGTGTTGGTGTGAGTTTCCAAGAAAGACATGTGGGAGGGGAATTCACATATGAAAGTTTGACAGGATCACGTCATTTGGAGAAACCCTAGGTGGATTTTCAGGTCTGGTAGTAGTTTCACATGACCTTGTTGCAAGAATTTGGTGTTCAGCTGTGTTGAATGGGTAAAAAATAGGCAAAACAGCTAAAAGGGGAGCGGGTTGCCATTGAACCAGCCTGCACTGGCAGCTGCTTTGTGCAGCAGATGTGAACTGCTCAGTGGGGAAGGGGCCAGTTGCAAAGTGCTGGTGGAAGGGACAGCTTTGTTGGGCTGTGAGGAGTACGTCTGGGGGGAAATCCTGTAAACTTCAGCCTGAACCTCTTTGAAGTCCTGACAGGCACCTGGCGTTCAGCCGGGATGAGGCTCTGCATTTGCACCCGGTGTCTGTAATGGTGGTAACGGAGCACTGCTCAAAATTACAAGGTGCAGTCATTAATCCCATGCAGTCTTTTCCCCGCCATCAGTCGCTGCCTCTGCTGATAGGATTCTCAAGTACTGCTAGATAATCTTGCCCAGATCTCAAGGGAAGTGGTTCATGTTATGTGGGCATTTTTTATGCAGCATTTCTTCCTGCCCCAGGATTTGCAGATTCTTTGCCCAGTACAGTAATGACCAGAGCCTGTGCAAGGTCAGTTGTCATTGATGAGCTAGTTTAAGACATGGACTGCGAGTTAAATCTGTTTATCTCATCTCAGATACTTATGATAACAAAGCCTTGAAGAGATGTGTCAAAATCCAGAATTGCAATGTTGGTTTGGTAAGGAAAGAAGCTTTACTGCTGTTACCTGTGGTTGGTGCCTTTATTCTGGTTTGCTTTTTACTTGTGTGTCTTGGGGGAGGAAAAGAATGTCAACACTATAGGAATTTCCCCTTCCCTGTTAAATTTAATTCTGTGTGTGGCTTGATCCTCATCCCCAAGCATCTCCATGGGCTGATGCTGAGCTGCCCAGAAGGAGCAGCTGAGGATTGCCCTGCTGAACGGGAATCCCCCGTGGCACCAAGCCAGCACAGTCAGTGCCACGGCACCTGCCTCCCTCTCTCCCCTGCCTGCATGTGGGCAGCACGCCAGAGCTAGGAGGGGGCACAGCCTGGCCAGGCAGCACTCTGGGAAGGCTGAACAGCTCTTGAGCTGTGTCTTCATGGATGTACAGCAGCCCAGGAGCTGCTGTGATTTGGGCCAGAGGTTATTCTGCGTTCCTTTTGTGCCTTTGTCCCCCAGGAGCTGAGCTTTGTGTAGCCTGGCTCTGTTCTGTGTTTGTATCATGGGGGATCCTAACATGGGGGATCCTAACATGGCTAAAGATCAATCTTGAATGCAGGTGTTGAATGGCATGTGATACTATCGAGTTTTTTTTCTGCTTTTTAAATCAGTTCTTCAGTTTGATTACATTTTGGTGATCATCTTGGAGCAGAAATTGCATCATGTCTTTGAGCCTTCAGAGCAGCTTTGTTAGCCCAAGGTATTAAGTTGGCTGTTCATTCAAGCCATTTTTTGTCCTAGTCACATTCCAGATAGTATCTGAAATGGAAATCCATGCAACGCTTATCTCCCCCTGTAGTAACTTTGGGGGAAGCTTCTAACATGAGTGTAGGGGATGTGATATCCTTACCATCACTGTGGAGCCTAAGCATGAATGATGGGCTCCTGCAGGATCTGGGTGTTATCTTGAGCCTTGTCAAACCTGTGCCTTCCCCAGCAAATGAGAGCAGGGCTGACTTCACTTGAACTTTGCTGCATAAATCGAGTGGAATAGAAACCTGAGAGGATCTGTTTCTGCTGAAGGATCCCCAAATCTGCGTGAGTACAGGCCTAGAGTACAGTGCCAGCACCAGGAGGCCACAAGTCTTGGCAGTCTGGTTACAATAGGCAGCAATCATTATTCTTCACTGTGGAGCTTTGGATGGATTATGCAGGCTGTTGAGACCAAAAAAATACCAAAGATAGAACCCAAGTGTCTTGAAGAGTTTGTGCATCTGAGAGAGCACAACCCTGTATCTGCTTTCAAAAGTAATTTGAACTTTGCTTCCACTTAACCACAGCAGGCTTTCCTTGCTCTCCCCTCCCTCCTTTCCACAACTCTGCCCTCCTCTAAATCAGGTTTCCACTGGGGTAAGAGGTATAGAGGGCTTCTCTCAGTGCTCCCCTGGATCGCTGGGTTAGGAGCAGTGCAAGGCAGAGTTAACATCCTCATCCTTACCTGGTGTTTTTTTCAAAAAAAATGCCACATGGGGTATTCCTGACCTAGGGGTACCACATGCAGCATACACTTCAAAAGCATCTGGTCCATTGTGCTGAAAATGAGATGTTACAGCCTTTGCTGTCTGTGCTTGTAAAGCCAGCAGAATGGTATTTGTACTTGTAAATTTGCCTCTTATCTTTCAAAATTATATCCACAACTCTGTCATTCTGTCACATTGTTAAGCCTTCAATTACAGGACGGGATTTGGGAACTTAGTCCCAAGTTCATGGATCTCCCCACCCCCATTGGTTGTAGGCTTTCTGAAGTAGAGACTTTGCCTTTTTACCTGTTGAAATGGAAATGTAGATTAAAGGTTAAGGTGGCAACATGTGCAGCTTAATAGTTGTCTGTGTGTAATTATATTCTACTGATTGTGCATTGATAACTCAAGAGTACGGTCCCTTCCAGCAAGGCAGCTGGCGCTGGAAAAGGGAAGCGGGAGGGGGGGTCCAGCCAGGTACCGCGCATGGCGAGCGGGTCCCGGCTGCCACTTGTGGTGACTCCCATGAAATCCAGCGGCTGCTTACATATGGTTGCCTGTACTTCCCCTAGGAATAGGGTGGAATCTTGCAGCAGACCCCATGGCTATATTAAGGAAGTCATATATGCATTTGGGAACGCAGCTTAATGCAGTAACTATACTAGGAAACAGATAAGAGTTATCAAGCAGGCGCTAATGTAGAGCGTGATGTCATGAAGGTCCTGAAGAGATCTAGAGCATGCTTAACCCACAGTTAACAGCGCAGCCTCTGTCGAGATGTGATGTCGTGTGCTGAAAGCATCTGGGATATCAGAAATAGCAACTGGAATGGCCACAGGCAACAGGTCCAAGGAGTGTGGTCCAGAGGGTTTGCTGGAGAAGGAGCAACCTACTTGCTTATGTATGACTGCTGAAAACTAAGGACTGGTACCGGCAAACAGTAGAGCAATAACACTCAAGCAGAAGGTGTGCCGGCAACCAGGAAGCACCTGCTCAAGCAGATGGCACCTGCCCGACGTGGGGAGAGGGGCAGCAGAGCCCCGAGCCACCCTGGGGGATGCACGGGACGAGGCAGGATGGTGAGATGGGCGAGGAACGCTTGGTTGAAGCTGTGCAATGCGTCATCTCCCCACCCAAGCACCGGATGGTGCCTTGTCATGAAGGCTGGGGAAGACACGGTTACATACTGCAGGAACCAGCCTACCTGCCTGCATCTGAGGGTTTCTGCTAGACATTCACCTGCAGGTGCCTTGCTAGCTGTTCAGGTGAGCACTGCAATGGTGTTTGTGGTGGTTGGTTCCCTGTGGCACGTTGTTCTTCCGCTATTTCTCACTATGCAGCAGTTTTGGGGGAAGATAAGTAAGGGTCATGTGGTTTGTCTTGTACTTGTATTAGTACTTACTCCAGTTAGTGCGTAAACAGTGATGAGGTCAACGATACACAACTTCTGCAGGTTGTGTTGTCTTTGCAGCTAGCGCAAATTAGCTGAGGACACTTATTCCCTCAAACCTCTTTCTCCAGATACATGTGGGTTGTCCTCCCTAATCTTGACTGCGCATCTACATGTCTGTAGTATTAGAGACTGCAGTGTGATACAACTAAATTGGTTCAGACTGAGGCCCACTCATCTCATCTGGGTATATAGCAAGACTCAGGAAGGCTGCTCGTGCGGGCATCAGGCAACATTTTATTCTGTGTTTTGGTCACAGAAGGTGAGGAAAGAGATGTAAAATTTGTAGTGTTACCGTGTGTTTTCAGGGAAGTTCAGCAGACGTTTGGAGAGTGATTCAGGAGCTGGAATTTTCCTTAAGATTACAAAGACTTCTGAAAAACAAACGAGGAATAGGTTTTTAGTCCTTCTGCCATACTTTTTGTGGTAGTGAGCTGTTTTAGATGGAATGTAGCTTTGCTAAGGTCACCTTTCTGCTTCTCCCTCTCTATACTGACACAGTTCTGTGCTTGCTAACTGTCAGGGCTGTAGTGTGTCTGGATAAGGCCCAGCATCCTTGCAGCAGGGCTAAGCTTTGAGAGGAGACCTCTGTGCAGCAGCCAGGGCCTTGGAAAAGTGCCCATTAATAACCAGAGGGGCATCAGAGAGTGCTGCCCTCTCCCGGGGAGGGGGGGGTGGATGACGCTGCCAGCAAGTTCTTCAGGAGGAGATGGCGAGTCGGAGCATAAGGGGAAGAAGAGTGGGATGAGCACGACTGCAGGCTGTGAGGCTGTGGGCAAATAGCTGCGGGTCATTTTAATACTTATAAAAAGTGTCTGAGCTGGTGGTAGTTCCTACTGCTTGTACTGTACACAGGACAGCCGGGTGCAATGCGGCGATGAGCGTGCACGTGGCAGAGAAGTTGTAAGAAGCCCCACCAGCCCAGTTCATCCTCCCCTTGCAGGCATATATTTCCTACGGGATTCTTAAATCTCTTGGAGCATAAAGCCATTTAATTTTGAGTTGAATTTTTTTTTTCCCATGGAGTTATGCTCTTTCAGAAGCGATTCAGTGTGTCGATATACCTCTGACCACATAAGCACCGAAATGACGTTGCTGCAGAAACCCTTGGGGAGCATTAGGAGCCTTTGCTCTGCTGTTTCCTACTCAACTCTTCAATCCAACCAGACTTTCTACCACTTGCAAACCTGGCTGGTTTTATTCCATGACAGCTGCCCTGGGCAGTTGTTTTGACTGTACCTTTGCCCAGTATCTTGGTACTGGGCACAGCAAGGAAGTTCTGCAGTTCTGTAGCAAAGTTTTTCGGAAAAGCAGAGGGGAAAGCAGCACTCTTGCCCTGAAAAGGGCAAACTAAAACTAGAAGCCAGTTGGCTATTCTACCACCATATTAAAAGGTTTTACTTCAACATCCATTGCTATTTCCACCTCCCTCTCAAATCTCTACCCCTGAGGAAGTTTTTTCCAATTCCCCATTTGCCTCCATCCTGCCCTTGGGGAGGGTGAAGGGGTGGCAGTCCCACCTCCCAGGGTGAGGACCCGTGCCGTTTCTTTCTCAGTGTGACGTTCAGGTGCTGCTTCACTCTGTGCCTTTGGTCTGTTGCATAGCTTGGAACCACAGCTGACTCTACACTCTGCTGGCTGCTGCAGCTGCGAGCTTTTCCCTCCCCAAACACCCTCCTGCCTTGCTTCATCTTCCGACATGAGCTCTTGCAAACTTCTTTGCAAAGAGGGTAGGGGAAAAAAAAATTCATCATGTTCTGTGCAGTGTGGAGATCAGCTTCAGTTCTCTTGCAGAGAACCTGTCCTCCCACAGCACACTGCAGCTGTGCTCCTTCACCTCCTTCCTCCCAAACGTGTCCAGAGGTGGGAGTGAGCCACCTCGCTGGCTGGGGGAGATAATGGAGCAGGCTGGGGCCTCGTGTGCTGGAGAGGGGAGGACACAGATAGGGGCAGAATGTAGCTGCTCTAGGGTCTGGGTTTAGGGTGGAGCTTCTTCTATTGTACTTTTTTTTCCTTCCTTTTTTTTCTTTT